TAAAACCCGTCTCAGGCACGATCTAGTCTCTGTTTGAACTAAATTTGGCATCCTTTTAAACCTTAATCTCCTCTGAACTCTCGTGTACCTTGACAATTACCCGTCTTACTATTACTCTGTATCTCAATTTCCTCAACGAGCATTTCACCAACAAAAGACCCTTTACATTTCCCTAACACAACACTACAAATCACATTATCATCGTAACTGACAATAGGTATCTGAGGATTTCCATTTTCAGAAAAAACTTTAGGAGATAAAACCGTTACCAGAGGTATCAAGCTTTGCTCGAGTCTCTCTCGATCACAGCTCTTCACTGTACGTCGGTAAACAGTAGGTGAATCAACACCATTGACGGGTTCGTCACCAATCAATAGAAGCCGCGAGATGCCTTGAAGGTTAAGGAGGAGCTGGAGGTGACCGGACTCGGTGGAGAAGACCCAGTCGTACTCTCGCTGTTCGGGGACAAACATGACTGCGGCACGGGCCGGTGAACCCACGAGTTGGAACGGTGAGTCATAAACAGCGATTCGAATGAGCCGATGAGATGCAGAAAGAGAAGGATAGGGGATTGTGAAGGTAACGAAGCGAGATGGAATTATAGTCTCAAATGCAGTAACATCAAGTAATTCCGCCATTTGCTTCTGAAATTTTCAAGAACAGAAGCATCCGGGGTTAGGAATTTGGGTTAAAAGATGAGCTTCTTCTTCAAATTTCCCTTAAAAAGTTTTAATTAATGTAAAATTAATATAATATTAAATTTAATTAATAAAACAAAAAAAATCACTAAATAGCATTAAAAAATATTCTGAAATACTTTAATCATTACATATAAGATTTCGCTAATTTTAATTTTAATTTAATATAATTGGAGTCATTAACATAGATTATTTAACTCCTTCTAATTTTAATTTAGCACAAAATATTTTAAATATAATAATTATATTCAAAATTATATTAGTATACTCGCAATAAAATAATTATATTACTCTGCATAAAATCTCAAATAAATTAACATAAACGTGCACGTCATTATATAAATTTAGAGAATTGAGAAATATTCATAAATACATTTAGAAAATTGATCTAGTTCTATTTTTGTTCGTTTTGTTTGAAAAAAATAAATAATTTTAAAAAAATTGATTTTTTTTTTAATTATTGAATTTATTTTTAATTAATCAACATGTGATATTTATAATTCTCATTACTAATATAATCGAAATTATATCTAAATTGATCGTAATATCATTTTAACTGGTTAAATTAATATTATTCTGATTAATCTTTATTACAATAAAAATGAAGTCATAATACAAATTAATGAGCCAAATATCATTACACAAATTTAAATGTACATTACATAAACATAAATATTTTAAAAGTTATTATAATAGACTTTTATATTATATTAAGCATC